AACACGTCAAACATAAGCCGAAACCTAAACCTCTGTTTTAGACTATAGAGTTCTAACTCGTGAATCTTAAACAGGTCGACAACAACATATCTGCGGAGAAAGAAAAAAAAACACCCACCTGTCACGGAAAGACTCCTGAAAGACAATGTTCTCAAGACAACCAGGACTCAATATGGCCTCGTTTTAGAATTCCCAAAACTCCCATATATGGAAATCTAAAGTCCCCGGATGTACTTATCATTTCTTTTCGAAGAAAATGAAATGAGACAAGAATTTCCCTTCTTAACTTTAAAAGGTTTGTATTATTCTTATATTTATGAGAGACAGCCACTAAAATGTTTTCTAAGTTTGAGTTGATAATGTTTCCTATTGACACTTAAGATCATATCAAACGTTTTGGCCCGTCGCATTATACGAAGGTGCAGTGATGCGTTACGAAAAGTTGTCAAACTGGTAAAAGAACTGCTTATGGATCAAAGCGAGCAAATTAAGGGGCGTTGTCGGATAGACCCATAGGTTTTTTTAGGAAATTTACAAAACACGGTTACACTTACAAACGAAATACATGTACTATAGTATTGGTTTTTCTTCGACATTTGGAAACTTTTGGGTGTCTAAGGGAGCCAATCAGGGACTCTGACAGCGAGATTGTCTAATGTATGCATGATATTGCACAACTACCTAGTTTCTAGCCTCTACAAGGCTTTAGGAGAGCTTTAAAGAGTAGAAATTGGCAAAATAGACAAATAACGTTTCAGGGTAGATGAAAAGCTAAATGAGTATAGACTTGGGGCAAACTGTACTTCTTTAGCGGACCAACTTCCCTGGCACATTATCTGCCTTTTTTTGCAAATCCGTACTCTTTCCGTCCGCTTCTGAAGCCTACGATAACCCCATTTTCAGAGAAAGAAGCTTACTTCAATTTTTAATCTTTTAGATAACATCTTTCGCCGCATGAGCCCTTCTCACAATATACAATACGAGCGTTATCCTCTCTTTGCAAGCTGGAAGTTACTTCTATACTTTATTGATGGTTTGCCAGTATTGCTTATTTACTTATAGTTCTTTATCTGCAACCAGATGTTTGGCGGCTACAAATCAGTGTGAAATTGGCAAGATAGTGTTCATTTTCCACCTGTTTTGGCTGGCGTAAAAGAAGATACCAGCACAAGAAAAATCCCGATAAAAACACGTCAAACATAAGCCGAAACCTAAACCTCAGTTTTAGACTATAGAGTTCTAACGCGTGAATCTTAAACAGGTCAAAAACAACATATCTGCGGAGAAAGAAATAAAACACCCACCTGTCACGGAAAGACTCCTGAAGACAATGTTCTCAAGACAACTAAGACTCAATATGGCCCCGTTTTAGAATTCCCAAACTCCCATATATGGTAATCTAAAGTCCCCGGATGTACTTATCATTTCTTTTCGAAGAAAATGAAATGAGACGAGAATTTCCCTTCTTAACTTTAAAAGGTTTGTATTATTCTTATATTTATGAGAGACAGCCACTAAAATGTTTTTTAAGTTTGAGTTGATAATGTTTCCTATTGACACTTAAGATATCTAACGTTTTTGCCCGTCGCATTATACGAAGGCGTCGTGATTTTTTTAATTTTTTTTTCATGTAAGATTTGTAATATTTCAAAATTCATGAGAGACAGCCGCTTAAATTTTTTTTTACGTTTAAGTTGATAATGTTTTCAATTGGCACTTTTAAGATATATAATGTTTTGCCCCGTAGCATTATCCGAAGGCGCACGGATGTATTACGGAGAGTTGCCAAACTGGTAAAAGATCTATTTTCTTGTCAAACAGGGCGTCGTCAGATAGACCCATAGGTTTTTAGGAAAGTTCACAAAACACAGTTATACTTATAAACGAAATACATGTACTATACTCTTTTTTTTTCTTCGACATTTTGGAAACTTTGTCTACCAAGCCACATGTCACAGGTTCAAGTTTTGTGCTTATTTTGTACCATACTGTCGCGACATGGCCCTAGGGCCACAATTGTGCGATGGATACATGTACAAGCTTGGCTTCTCAAGGGACCCAATCAGGGACCCTGACAGCGAGATTGTCTAATATACTCAGAATAATGCACAACTACCTACTCAATAGTTTCTAGCCTCTACCAGGCTTTATGAGGGCTCGGAAGAGTAGAAATTTTCAAAATAGACAGGAACATGCCAGGGTAGTTAAACCGCTAAATGAGTACGGGGAAAACTGTACTCCTTTAGCGGAACAACTCCCCTGGCATGTTATCTGTCTTTTTTGTGCAAATTTCTAGTCTTTTCGGCCGCTTCTGAAGTCTGGTAGAAGCTACGACTGCACCGATTTCAGAGGAGGAAGCTTACTTTAATTTTTTAAATTTTTAGATAGCATCTTTCGCCACGTTATCCCTTCTAACAATGTAATATTTGCTTTATTGACGAAACAACTGTCGATAATTTAACAATATTGCAACAAATTTGTATGGTAACTCGCTTATCATGACAATTACTTGTCTGTCCTCCTCTCGTCATATAGCTCGATTACCCTAGGACCTGGCAAGTTGCCAAACCGGTTTCTTCGATCGTCACCAAGGTGACCCCTGACCTCTACCGCCTGACAGCGCCGTAAGTAGAGTCTACCACAAGAAAGCTACGGGTCTGCTAGTTGGAGAGATTTGACTATACAAAAGTTATCCTCTCTTTGCAATCCAGAAGTTCGAGAAGTTACTTCTATACTTCATTGAGGGTTTGCCAGTGCTGCTTATTTACTTATAGTTAATATAGTTAATTTTCTTCCTGTTTTAGCTGGCGTAAAAACAAAAATACCAGTCCAAGAAAAAAAAAAAACACACGTTAAACATAAGCCGAAACCTAAACGTCTGTTTTAGAATATAGAGTTCTAACGCGTGAATCTTAAACAGGTCAAAAACAACATATCTGCGAAAAAAGAAATAAAACACTCACCTGTCAGGGAAAGACTCCTGAAGACAATGTTCTCAAGACAAACAAGACTCAATATTGCCCAGTTTTAGACTTCCCAAACTTCCATATATGGTAATTTCAAGTCCCCGGATGTACTTATCATTTCTTTTTGTAGAGAAGGATATGTAACAGGAATTTCCCTTCCTAAATGTTTTTTGTGTAAGATTTGTAATATTTTAATATCCACGAGAGACAGCCGCTTAAATGCTTTTTTCTTACGTTTGAGTTGATAATGTTTCCAATTGGCACTTAAGGTAATGTTTTGCCCCATAGCATTATACGAATGCACAGCGATGCATTTCGGAGAGTTGGCAAACTGGTAAAAGAACTTGTCTAGTTCTGGGTCAAACCGGGCAAATAAAGGGGCGTTGTCAGATACAGCAATAGATAAGATTGTTATAAAAGTTCACAAAGCACAGTTAACCTTATAAACGAAAAACATGTACTATAGTATTGGTTTTTCTTCAACAGTTTGAAAACTTTCAGTGTCTGACAAGCCACATTTTACAGGTACAAGTTTTGCGCTTATTTCGTACCATACTGTAGCGACATGACCCTAGGCCAACAATTGTGCGATGGATACAAGCTTGGCTTCTCAAGGGACCCAATCAGGGACCCTGACAGCGAGATTGGCTAATATAGGCAGGGTATTGCACAACTACCTAGTTTCTAGCCTCTACTAGGCTTTATGAGGGCTTTGAAGAGTAGAAATTTGCAAACTAGACAGATAACATGCCAGGGTCGATTTCCTGCTAAATGTGTACAGACTTGGGGCAAACTATACTCAGACCAACTTTTCTGGCACATTATCTGTCTTTTTGCAAATCTGTACTCTTTCCGAACGCTTTTGAAACCTGGTAGAGTCTACGACTACCCCTTTTCTGAGGAATAAGCTTACTTTAATTTTTAAACTTTTAGATAACATCATTCGGCGCATGATCCCCTCTCACAATATACAACACAAAAGTTATCCTCTCTTTGCAAACCAAAAAGTTCGAGAATTTACTTCTATACTTAATTTAGGGTTTGCCAGTGTTGCTTATTTCGTTTGGTAGAGAAGGAAATGCAACAAGAATTTCCCTTCCTAAATTTTGTTTAATAGTCACAAGAGACAGCAACTAAAATGTTTTCTAATGTTTTTCCCCGTAGCATTATGCAAAGGCGCAGCGAATGCATTACGAAAAGTTGTCAAACTGGTAAAAGAACTACTTCTAAATTGAGCCGGTTATCCATTAAAAAATGCTGTTTTAAATGCACAAAGTTTGAACTACGTTATCCAAATGAGCTAATATGTGACAGGTTGAGACAGGGTGTCAATATTATACAGATTGCCTTATTCAGAAGACGCCATGTATATTTTTCTACCCTGAAATGTGATGACTTCAATAACTCTAAACTATTCCACTGAAATAAACAAAATTCACACACTCACAAACACAAGAACGATAATAATAAGCTTTATTTGAGTAGATCTAAATGTTATTTTCCGATCCCAGCCTCTATCTTTCAATATTGCCATAAGTAACATTTTTTATTTAAGTCTTCGAAGGAGTTTAAAAGCATTTTGTTATCATAAAACTATGGAATAATGAATGAGCTGTTTGATTCATTTATTACCATAAACATAAACCATAACACACCAGATTTTACTTGAGATAATACAGAATAGTGTGATCGCAAAAACAATGCCTAATCTTTCACCTTTACATTGAACATTGCCACTAATTTTAATGACCCGTCACAGAACATTACAATTTGAAACAATGTGCAAACATTCCGAACCTGAACACTGGCCGTCCAATGTCGGCTGACATTCGGAAGCAGCCTAACCAGAATAAGCCACGCCTACCTTTTATACAAATCGAGTCGAATTTTAGTTAAAATTAAGTCAACTACCAACCACACCCTTCACCCACAACCAGACAACTTGTTTATAAAAACTGTTAGGTCATGTCACAGACCTGTTTGTAACTTTGGTCGAAGTACCTACCTAGTTGCAATTTCCTTGCATATACAATGCCTCTTTATATATTTTATATGATCACAGTAACATAGCCATATGCATTATATTGTTACCTTGTTTATTCTACAGTGTTATCATTAAGCTTTGCATGTCTGTGTCTGTTTTGATGTGTTTTTGTATTGTTAGATAGCGACATTAACTTAAACTTTAGCTTGAACATGTCGCCATATTTTTGTCATTAAATGTTGTAATAAAAAAGAAGACAACCATGACCGACCCTCCCGTTCACCCCCGAATGTATGGATCAGGAGAATTTGGGCTGAATCTCCGCGGGTACCTCGTCGCTAGAAGAAAGAGGCCGGAGGCGGAGAAACTTCCACAGAACTTGAGTAACAATCCTTCGGTAGAGCAAGGGGAAATCCTCCCTGCAGATCTGGTAAAAAAATAGTACACTTCTTAGTTAATCCTAGTAACCATACCAGTACGAACTATTCAATATCTCTAATAACGTTTTGTGTAAACAAAACAATACATAGTGATGGGACACTCAATCGTGGTAGCTTACATGACGATATATTAGGTCAAAAGACATTATAATAATTACCGCTCGAGACTAAATTATAATATTGGCTAACGATCAATGTAAAATATCAGAATTAACGATTAAGTGCATTTTATTTGTAAAATAAAATTAAGTGATTTAATAGTAATTACTGGTGCATACTATATGCACTGGTAATTAATATCAAATCGCTTAATTTGAAATAATCAGAACTGTGTAATGGCGAGAATTGAGTGTTGATTTCGTATAGCAATAGAGGTGAACCTTTTCTAAGTAACAGATATACGTAGCGCTATCAGATAAATTGTTAATATCTACTGATATTACATACAAAATCATGCGTTGCTATGCTTCAATGGGTTAACATCAATTTAGAATAAGGCACCGTTATGGATAGTCTTGGCACAGATTTTGACAACCTGTGGAGAGTGTTTTATCCAGAAGCATGCAAAGGCACGGTTCTTTGTAAAGCACGGTTCTGAATATAACTGTCTGGGTCGTGTACACCTCCCACTCAGGCTTATTACCGCGTAGATCATGTTGATTTTTTAATATAGATGACATTCTCCGGGAACCCCAAAACTGATGCAAGCGAGCAAATAAAATTAAGTTCGGCAAAATCGTTGCCTTGATTATGAAATCTAGGTGATTATAAACCTTTGACAGAGAACAAAACACAAGGTTTACTGGTATGGTGAGTAATAGACTCTTCATTTTCATTCATCTTTTATTTTCTTTTTGTCCTTAATAATGCATTTGTTTTCTTTTTTTTTTGGGGGGGGGGTCATGGACAGCGTTGGTTTCAGTGAAAGAAGATACAAGCTCTAAAATCCCTCACCTCTTCATAGTCGCTGGTTTTCATTCTGGTTCCAGAGAAAAGTCTCACCGGAACTTCTCTCTCCAGTAATTCTTCCACGTCCAAGTTCTTAATCCCCAGAGTACGCACGGTCACCTCCTCTAGATCTGATGAAGGGAACAGGTCAGTTATTATTGGATAGAAGACGATATCGAACATTATCATATAGCCAGATGCCGTCGACCAATCAGAAGGTTCCATTTCCCCCAAAACCCAGGTCATTAATATCCGATATACTGACCCACTCAGTTTGAATGACGTTAAAACAGAGGTAGACGTTACCATTACATGACAGGGTGTTGTTTACTTCTTCTAAACCTATTTCTAACTATACAGAACTTTCTGATATACTCAGATTAGTAACTAAATTTTGTTATTATAAACTGTAGATTAGTAACTAAAATTATGATAAAACTAAATACAATTAAAATCAGAGGTTAATTCAGAAAAAATATTTCATAAATCTTACTTGACCCTCCTATTCTACACTTGGTACAAACAAACTAACAAAATCAGACAATACTTTTCAAAACGGTTGGTTATGTTGCTTTTGCTGCTAACATAAAAAAATGAAGGATCGCGGACCCGATGGTTATAGGAACCGACCATAAATCATCATTATTAATCCATCTTTCATTCCCTCAAAAGAAGCCTAACCCACCAAAACTAGCACAGCGTTTGTTGTAGAATGGACTTTAAAGTTGAACTGAAATATCACTATATCTTCTTTATTCCATACATGTTGTAAGCGTAGTGTCTCAAAAAATGTAATAAAGTTTGTCATTTATACACAATAATAAATGAAATACCTTCATTGCACGTTTTTGTCCTTACAAGTTTAGGTCACGGATTGATTACTGTAAAGAAAAGTTCTAATTGTACCCATAGTGACCATTTATTGCCTTTATAATGAACTGCCCGATGTACTTATCAGTTCTCAAGACTCCTGGACCACAGTAAGCAAGATTTATCTTATATTGCCAATACAAGCTGTTTGTAAGGAGTAGGGAAACTCACCTGGATTCTCTGCCAGCTGCTGGATACTGTGGATGTAGCTGACTGAACCGATCATGTCCTCCTGTTAGATAAACATGGCAGTCAAACTTATACAGGGGATTGCACTTATTTGTATTTCTTATAATTGTATATTCCGGGTAATTGTATAGAATTCTAAAACACCAAACCATTTACCAATTACCAGTCACAAGGCTTATTGCAAAAGTACTAGTACCGACCAATTTTGGCCTATTACCTTATAGCTAAATTAACCCCAGAGGTGGAGAATTTTTTGGGAGAGACAATTTGCACCGGTACCATACCGCTTACTGGTACCGGGCGAAGTGTGTGATTTACATGGATCATCAGACAAGCCATCCCCTCCTTTGATGTACTCTCGAAGCAGGAATTTAGGTTTCAGCTAATTCTGTTGTAGTTTTGTACTGCTGGAATCTTTCGAAATCTGGGTCAGTCTTCTGAGGAAGACCAGAGTGACTGGTCGAAAGCTCAATAGACTACCAGCAGAAGTAAGGCAGATTCCAACTTTAAAACACTTAAAGGCAGCTATTAAGATGACCTCTGACCTCGAATGATAATTGAACGGAAATCAATTTACGTTAATTATGATTATGATTTGAAGTTATGTTTCTTGTAAATTCCCTCAGTTCATGTTCGTATTATTCATTTATTTATGTATAACTTTCAGTTATACTGATTTCATTTACATCTTTTGTTATGTACTTTGTATAATCTATTATTCTTTTACATTTTGTACTTCCCGTGGGCCTCCTTGGAAATCAGCTTTTGGCTGAAGGAGCTACCCAGGTGTCTTTGAAGATTAAATAAATAAATAAAGCTCTAGGTGAGATACCTTTTTTTGTGTGTTGGACCAAAAGTTTTAACTTTAAACATGGTCTAATGAATGTTTCCCTACCTGGTTCGTTCGGTTCACATTTGAAGACTTCACAACCTCTTGATACAAGATGTCTCCAAAATCGTCAGCAACATTGTGGACAGTTGCCGCCTCAACCAGAGGCCCTGCTGCTACAAGATCTTCTGTGTTGAACTAAAATGAAAACAACAATGTTTCACGAAAAATATAGTTTTTAACTCTCTCTTTTCATTTTATTTCCAAAAGATAATGTACACAATAAAAACACAATGACACTCAAGCAGAATAAGTTACAAACGTGTGTCACACAAAAACGGAATCATTAAACACGATGGTCAAATACAGGCCGAAAAGTCCAACTCTGCTTGTATGGAGATCAAGCCCCGAACCCGCGAATCATGTTCAATATGACGTCATTCGAACCGAACAGACGTTCGATCTGGGGTTACCCGCGGTCATTTACAGCAAACACACTAAACCCGCTATTACGAGCCCTTCTTAACATGGGGACCACGGAACAGCAAACATCTAACTTCCCACAAATATGAACCGTTTGTAAAAACATTACATCTATAGGGTGTGATGTGTGAAGACATATGGTTTTTCCTCATGTTCTTCTCTTTCTCCTCCTCCTGTCATTTCTTTAAATTGATTCAACTCCTTCATTTTTCGGCCAAATAACATGAACTTTGGCATGAAGGTAGAGTGGGCAAATATTAGAGTGGCTTTATTTGAGCTTTTTTGGTGTGGTATAGAAAATGTACTATAGCAGTGTATTGGCATATTTGGGCATGTGTCATCAGAATGGCATGCAGAGCAAGCAACCAATAGGCATGCAGCCTTTCTCTATTCTACTTGCTGATTGGGTGTTGGGATTTGATTGGTTTAACTCAATTAACACCTGTACCTTGAAAGCCATACCATATCGACAGAATGAACTGCATTCAAGTGTTTTGGTAGGTTTGTCAAGCTTTCCTGCTCCAGCATTGGAATGCGGGACATAAACGCTTCTTTTTATGTTCAAAATTAACAGTTTACATTATGCAATTAAAAATCCTTACCAATAATGTAGGGGATAGCTATCCGACTGTTGTCACTTCATACTATAGTTATATCAATGTAAAGAATTGTATTCCCTTGTGTTTCTCCTTCTTTCCCGCGTTCTGATGAAGCCATCCGCTACATTTGTTCGAAAGCAAATGTCGGCGTATCTAGTTCACTTACTTTTTTGACGTTGAGGTGATGTTGGTTCGTAGCTCGTATCAGAGTAGCTAGTCCCTTGGCTTCAGTGGGGGTGAAGACTTTGACCATTCGATGGACATATAACTGAAGAAGCAGGAGATTGAAACGTTGTCAAATCGGTGTGCCCATGCAATCATGAAAACTTTATCGTGTGATTATATATATACAAGCTCTATTATGTAAAACATTGGAATTAGAGAATTTTCAGATTTACAAAATTAAGTGTCAATTTGAATAATTTGCTACTTGCTCCATATCCGACCTAACCCACTAGTACCCACATACTAAAAATCTAGAACAAAAAACCTTTTTTAGAATTATCCACTTCGAGATATTTTATCAGAAATCCTCTAGTAGTTCCAGTTCTATAAACTGGTGGGGGAGGCAAACCCAAACTACTTATTTTTGACTGGCAAATGGCAAATGTTCCACGAAAATCCATTCGCTTGTGCTCTCACTTCGAAATTTCTCGGCCAGGACTCGTTTTGATATTACACGGAAGTAAATCACCCTTTCTCCATCTTTCATGGGAAAGCTCTAGCTTCCTTCGCAGATTTGTTTTGCGTTGGCCTTTTTTATCTGTGAGTGACGCGGGTAATATGCCACAGAGGGATGATTTTGCTGCTGAGGGAGTTTTTGCAGTGGAGAGAAGGTTTCGCGCTCCAACAAGTCTGCTTCCGCCATGTCAAAAATATATCCTCTATGAAAGGCTAGCTTAATGCCAAGCCCTTTTTGGTCGCCGACTGGAAGCAGACTTGTTGGAGCACGAAACATTCTCTCCACGGCAAAAACTTCCTCAGCAGCAAAATCGTCCCTCCGCCGTATATTACTTAGTATTCGCGTCGCTCACAGAAAAAATAACGCCGACGCCGAACAAGTCTGCGAAGGAGGCTAGGAAAGCTCCACCCTAAAATTAATTCCATAAAACTACATCACTATAACAAAAGCATGTAAATTGGTACCACGTTAAATTTTTCAACTCTTGGGTGAACAATCATCTCTCTTTACAGTTCCTGCATGTAACCCAAAACATGTAAGTGGTTCGAATGGGCCTTTTTATAAGGTGAAAATTGTGAATAAAAATTACTTGCATTTGCCCCCTAAAAATCGAAACCATAGCATTTGAATGAGTTCTGCCACAGTACTGACATCAGTCCCGGGGGGGGGGGGCTAATTTGACCTTTACCTTTGTGCTGTATTTTTTTCGAGCAAAGGACAAAAAGTATATATTACTTATGGTAAGAGATGCCTCGAAGAACAATTAAAAATAAAAAAAATACAATGCGCCTTACCTGATTAGGCACCAAAGGTGGACTACTTGCGTTCCCACAAAATGTTGCGTTCTGAACAACGCGTCTGCGAAGCTCCGAGACAGTCGGAATCTCACTCTTCCTCTACAAAGCAAAGGGGGCAGCTTTAGTTAACTATAGAAACACAGAGAGGTTTACTTCTTTAGAAATAAGTGCAAGTCATATCATATACATGTATGTAGGCTGACATCACCTTCTTGGGTAATTCTAACTTTGCAGCTGCCAGCTTTGGGTACATGGTCTGCTTCGTTGCCCGGAACACGACTTCATCTCGCTGGTTGACCAGGATTTGAGAGCTGGTCACCACGGAGTACTTGCCGCTTCTCCCTGCGTCCTCCACACTGTCGATAGAGAAGTAAGCTCTGACAGTTTCTCCTTCTGTTATAGGCCTCAGCTGCACGGCATTGAGAGTACCGAGATTAAATCGGGCGACTTCTGATGACCTGTCATGAAGGGAACACAAGATAAGAGATGAAACTATCATGCATAGTAACAAATCTAGACTGAACTTGATGATCTTAAATACTTTCTTCTATCGAGCTACTTCTAAATAAAAAAAAATTGCGGAAGAAAAAAAATAAATTAAAATAGGGAAATATATGGATAGCCATATGGAAAACTGTTCTCCTTAAATAAGAGTAATGCTAATTATTACTCATCTTTGATGTAAAATTGTACAGTTACTGTGCAATGTTATATATCTATCCCTTACGTGCTTTAAAAATTGCGCCTTTCCCTCCTTTGCATCTGCCTAGTTTTCATTGATGTGTTAAAGTAACCGACATCCAACCACCCAACTTATACTCATCACAAGGAAAAAATATAAGATCAATTTACTTTGCCACAGACAAAGACATCGTCAATGTCGCAAGTAGATGGAAGGGAGGCTGGATTCCCGGGAGGTCCATCTTCTTTGCTGTCAGGTCTGAACTGTTCACACTCCGAGCGTTGAAAAATGAAGAGTCCCAGGCAGCTCGCCAAGACGAATCCAAGTTGACAGGTACGATTCCTGTGGTCCATTCTCCTCCTTTGATTGAGTTGCCTGTGAGTCCTCCTTTCCGTATTAGTGGAATAACGATGCCCGGATTTTCATTGGATTTACCCTGCGGTCTATCGTTTATACTTACGGATGATTCCAATGCCTGGATCTTTCTGTGTGTCTCCAGGATGTGGGTAGCACCGTTAAGATGAGGAGGACCAATGAACTCCCGGTACTCCTGGGGTGTTCGCTGATAGACCCTTACTCCTGCCGTGACTTGTTCGGCCCACTCTATCTCTTGTCGTGTAGGGGTATAAAGCTGGTTTACAAAAGGCACCAGCAATGGATGCACAATGATCATTCCTGTATGTGAAAAGGTAGACATAAAGCTTATCGATCAATGGGTGGAATCATACTTGATACTCCATTGATTAAGACATCCATCGGTGTAGTTAAGATATCCAGCTAATGATGTTGTCCGCCATCTTAAATTTTAATCTATGACGTGAAATTATTTTAAACAATTACATGATATAACACAAGATATTAATAATGTTAGAAAGTGTTTGCAATCCAACATGAAAACCTGCAACTTTGTTAACCCTAGACCTAGACCGGG